AAAAAAACAGGTATTATATTAGATGCCCATAATAATAAATTATCTTTTGCAAGTAACCCTTTAAAATCATATGACTTAATTTATAACAATCAAAATAACAACCATGAACTAGGAATTACGTCTGCCGAAAGTAACAACAAAGATTTCAAAATAGTAAACAACGTTAATGCCGAAGCCTTCAGATCATATCTAGTTAAGAAATTCCCTAACGTGTTAACAACAAGAATTGGATGTGCCAGAAATTTTAGTTTAAAAATATTTGTTAAACCAGGCCTACCTATAAATCAACCTCCATATCCGTTGAATCCTATTGAACTAAAAAAAATGAAAGAAATTACGGACGAGTTGTTAGATCAAAAAATAATCCAAGAAAGTTATTCACCTTGGGTTTCACCTTGTTTTCTAATTCCAAAAAAATCCAATCCGGAAAATAAAAGATTAGTTATAAATTATAAAAAAATTAACGAAAGAATTAAATTTACAGCATGGCCATTACCCAGCATAGAACACATATTCTGCCATATTAGAGACGCTAGATACTTTACAATTATAGATTTATCAAACGCCTTCCACCAAATACCATTAGTAAAGCAATCTAGATGTTACACAGCATTTAAAACTCCTTATGGACATTATGAATATAACAGAATACCATTTGGTATAAATTTAGGAGCACAAATCCTTACACAATATTTAGAAAATTTTTTTGCCCATATAAAATATAAATTTGTATGGAATTTTTTTGATGATATCATTATATATTCAAAAGATCAACAACAGCATAAACAACATATAGAACAAGCCATGCAAATATTGCAAAATAATGGATTAACTGTAAACCCTGAAAAGATGAAAATAATGCAAACATCAGTATCGTTCTTGGGCCATCAATTATCGTACAATTCTATAAAAATAGACCCTGAGAGAATATCTGCAGTACAAAAGTTAGAAACACCAACGACATTAAAACAAGTTTTAGCGTTTTTAGGGTTATGTGGATTTTTTGCGCGGTATATTCCAAAATTTTCAGAAATAGCTGCACCACTACATAATTTAAAAAAAAAATAACGCGGAGTTAGTTTGAACTCACGAATGCCAACAGGCATTTGATACTTTAAAAAAATGTTTAACCTCTCCACCCGTATTAACAGTTCCCGATTTTTCTAAAGAATTTTTACTTTATACTGACGCGTCCAATGCAGCTATAGGTAGTTTATTAGCACAAAAAGTTAACGATAATGGGGTACAGCCGATTGCATTTTATTCAAAAAAATTAACCAATTGTGAAAAAAAATTATACTACATACAAGAAAGAATTGTACGCAGTATTATTTAGCTTTAGGCATTTTAAACATTATATAAAAAACAAACCTTTTAAATTATACACAGATTGTAATGGATTAGCGATGTTTCTAAAGAGAGATAGATCAAAGATCACATCCAACCCAGCAATTAGATGGATTTCTGAGTTAGATTCTTATTCTTTTGAAGCAAGGCATGTTAAAGGAAAAAATAATTCGGTGCCAGATTATTTGTCGAGATTTCAAGAAGCGGATCAACATTTCGTTGACGTTAATGAAAATAACAACAAAAACAACATTCTTGAAGACCTTACCTTATTTACCTCTCTATTACAATCCCTGCCCAAATTATTCGAAAGCTTCCCGCAATTACAAAAAGAAGACAAAAACATAGCCGATAGATTACAAAGTAAAGATCCATCATTAAAAATTATAAACAATTTAGTATATTACATTCCTCACAACAAAAATAACAAAAAAAAATTAATAGTACCACAATCTTTGCAAGCGGCTTTGTTTGAATATTATCATAATAGTACATATGGGGCACATTTGGGCTTAAAAAAAAACCTTGCCAAAAATAAAAAAGTTGTTTATCTACAAGAATATGAATAATGATATCAAACAGAGAGTTAGACTATGCCAAACATGTAAACAAATTAAACATAATAACCTACCTTTTCCAAAATATATACATAACACTCCAGCAACTAGAATATTTGAAAGAATATATATCGATTTCATTGGCCCATTACCTACATCATCCTATGGTAACAAATATATATTTTTAATAGTAGATGCATTTAGCAAATTCGTACTGGCGATACCCTGCAGAAATACTAATACAGAAACGGTTTTGCGAATTTTAAAATATCATGTTTTCATGCATTATGGTTTACCAACATATATTGTTTCAGACAGTTTGGTTCCCGATTACTCATCGTCAGCAAGACAAGAGGATCTTTAACGTCCGCACCTAGCCTATTCGGCCTTATCGGACGTTTTGATTCTCAAGATGAGAGCTGACGCACTTCTGCATACGACGGAAAAGTGTTACCGCCGCAGCATTGGTGTAGTGGTGTCCCGGCCACTAAGGGTCAGTAGCCACGCTCTCCGCTTGTCCACTCCGAATGGTCGGGCCTGCATTGTGCGTCAGGTCGTACGCCGCACGCAAGGGGCTAACGGGCCGAAATACATCAGCCCGTCCCCCCCCTCGCGTACTCCCTAGATAGAGAAGGCGACTCTATCTCTCTGAGTGTAGAGGCTCCTCCAGCGTAGAAACTTTCGGGAACGCCCCGACAGCGGTTTCGGATTAAAAAGTGGGATTGCTACCCACCCCCTAGATGAGTACTGCCTACGGACAAAGGTCTCTTATCGAGCTCAGCCTACACCTGCTGCACGTAATCGAGGGACGCCATAGGTCTAGCCTAGGTGGTCCGATCCTTCGCTTCCCCAAGGGTACCACGCCGGTCATACGCACAACAATGCAAAGCATACTCGAGTCAAAGACCGCCGATATCACTACCCTTTTCCAATCGCTTACTTACGCATTCGAGGGACTGTAGCATGATCATGACGTCCTCAACGCTTACATGCTGTCGTCCGGTCGCAACGTCTCCCGTGAGGAACGGGGGGTAATACGCTGGCCATGCTCAAGCTTCACGAAAGGTCCCAGATAGAAGACAGCCTCTGTCTAAGTTCCCGCCAGGGGCGTCACCACAAGCCACCACGAATCCGTTCCCAATGTGACAGAGGGCCGGATTCTGGAACATTTCTGTCACCCCGTGGTACAGATGGCCATACAACCCTACACCGTCTTTGCAGACAGGTTCTGGTGCACTGGCCCTCGTGTGACTCTGCTATGGCACCCGACGTTCCTGCCGACCCTGAGGCCGACATAAGACAGCTTGTGCTTTAGAGAGGTTGCCACGCCCTCTAGGCTACACCATTATTTTGTGCCCGGATACCGCCCTTGTAACCAAGAGTTAGGAGGGCTCACAGGAGAGCCGTTTCGGGGTCTCGAGTCTCAACCACATTATACCACCCGTAGTCGCCGTGGTTCCACATAGAGTGGGCCGTGACTCCCAGGGTGGGTGAGGCGATATGGCCGTTCAAAAGCCGAACTAGTCGACCGTATCCCAGCCAGTCGCCTCTGGGGGTTGAATCCGAGTCCGCGGAAAATAAATTCCGCGGGTCGGATTGGGATCCTCAATCACAAACACTCACTCTTCACAATCAGTGCGCTCGCGGTGGGCGACCGGTTCCTCAGGGTTTCGCAGTTTCCGTTCAGGTTTCCTGCTACTCCCCGAAGGCCGAATGTCGCTCACACCTCGGCTTGAGAGACTCTTCCTCAGCGATTCGACCCACTAAATCGCACATGGAGGCAAGGGGGAGGTGCTCAAGCTCCCCCAGCGTCAGAAATGGGAACAGTCGAACAGTCGAGCCCAGATAACGTGGGCTACGCCTTCCGCTGCCCCTTTTGAGATCCAGAGCGGTCAGAAAGCCAACTGGGCGCGGGGCACACGCCGAATCACCCGCCGTCATAGGCTCCCTTTCTTCGCAATAGCCCTTCGTGGGTTCGGAAGCTCAGTCGAGCTCTCGCAGGCTCCCGCAGGTGCCTGTTACTACTCAAGGGTTGTTCCTACACCCACTCCGGAACTTGTTAGAGTCTTCTCCCACACGAGTTCGGTGACATTGGTAACTATGAGGTTAGTTAATCAGTTCAATCACCTCGTTGGTTGCCCTTTGGTGAGCGACGGAGACCCTAATATATAGAGCCAACCGCCGCCCCCAGAGCCAAGAGACATTACTCCGCCACTATGCTCAGGCCACTTTGGAGAAATGTGATCGGTACAATACCAGTCTTTTGTCTTTGCGGTTTCCATTTGGAATTTGTTTTTGCGGTTTCCATTTTGTTTTCTTTACTTTGCGGTTTCCATTTGGTTTTATTTACTTTGCGGTTTCCATTTGGTTTTACTTTGCGGTTTCCATTTGGTTTTATTTACTTTGCGGTTACCATTTGGTTTTACTTTGCGGTTTCCATTTGGTTTTATTTGCTTTGATGTTTCCATTTAGTTTTATTTTTTCTCCGTGGCCAAGCCAGTAGCGAAGATTTCAGAGATGGATGGATGGACCGAGGTCCCTTACACACGCTCGACTTCTCTTGGTAATAAAGGCCAGGTGAAAAAATCATCTCCCCTTCTGCGGCATCGCGCCGAAATCCACAAGGCACTCCAGTCGACTTACTCTCGGAACCCCTACCGAGAGCTATTCCTCAGCGATTTCAGCCCTAAAAATCGCACACGGAGGAAACAAATGAGAGAACCCACACTCTCACAGACAACATTCTTTAACATAGTCGACCACACGGGAGAATCTTCCCTCTGCGGTATCCTACCGAGATCCTCCAAAGGGCAACTCCCCGCCGGCCTATTCCCTCTCAGTTCACCTCTGAGATTCTTCCGTCAATGACGGGAAGGGGGAGGTGCACTACTTCTCCCCCGATGCTAGATCGACAGCGGTCAAACNCTAACGAAGGAGCTAAGAGTGTATATATACGGTTTGTTTTTTCTTTTCCTTTTCTCTTTATAAATAGAGTGGCACATTGGTTAGTTTGTAGTTACTTATGTGTTACTGATAGTATGGTTAAAGACTTACCTTAGTGAAAAGTGTACTGAGGTCGAAGGAGTTTCGTCTAAAATGTCGGAACAACCAGGACAATTAAGCATGGAGCAAACGGACATGTCTACGGAGGTGATTGTAGGCCAAGGCGAAGGTGGTTGGAGTACGCCGGTCCCAGGAAGCAGGAAGAGGACACATTCGTCTCCGTCAGTGTTGGAGGGTGCTAGCAAGTATGGGATGCTGGACCTGTTGGTAAGTGTTAAATCTGTGGAGTCAGAAATGAATGAATGGCTGGCAGAAAGGAAAAATTGCACAGAAAAAACAGCTAAATGGATTACGAAGAGACTTACCAAAATTGTAGATATGCTGAACGATGCGGCGGGTGAGGTGATGACAGCGAGGAGAGTAAAGATGCACAGGACGACAAACCTGGAAGGAGAAATAGACGAGATTAGAAAAGACAATGCAATGATAATGGATAAAATAGACCAGATGGTCAGGAATATGGAGGAGAGAGAGAACAGGATGGAAACTGGAGTGAGAGGAATAGAGAGGATAGAGAGAAGGATAGGAGAGCAGGAAGGGGAAATGGAGGAAATTAAGGAGATAGTACGGAAGGAAGTACAAAAGAACATGCAAGAAGTGATGGGAAAGATATTGAAAGGAAAGGAAAAGGAAAAGGACGAAGAAAAGAGAATAATGCTGGAAAGGATCAGGGAGATAGAGAGCGCACAGAGCATACAGAGTAGGATACTGGGGGAAATAAAGGAGAATATGGATAGGGTCTATACGGGAGTGAGTAAGGTATATCGGGGAGAACAGGAAAGAGAGGTAAGGATGGAAGAAAGACACCGGGAAATACTGGAAAGGTGCGGGGAGGGAAAGAGAGGAAAGGAGATTCGGGACACCACCGAGGGCAGCGAAATGGAGACGGAAGGCGGGGAGGAATCGTATGCGAGGGCGGTAAAGAAGAGAGTCAGGAGAAAGATAGAAAAGAAATCTAGGAAAGGAGTAAGGATTACGAAGGAGGAACAAGGAAGAGAGATCGGAGGAGAGATAGTGAGGAGAGAATTGATGGGGAATATAGACCCGATCAAGAAAGGATGGGAGGTGGTAGGATTTAGAAGAGGAAGGAACGCGGTGTTTGTGGATGTGATGAAAAAGGAGCAAATAAAAGGGATAATAGAGGACACGGACCTGAAAGAAAAAGGCTTTAGAGTAGAAGAACAGAGGAAACTATTACCATGGGTGATTATCATAGGAGTCCCAGAGGAAATAGGAAAGGAGGAACTAGGGAAGAGGATTGAGGAAACGATAGGAAGAACTAAGGAGGAGTTGGAAGGTCAATTGAGGGTAAGAGTCTGGAGGGATGCAAGGAGTGGGAAGAGGAACGTGATTTTGGAAGTTAACCCGGAAACAAGGAGAGACTTATTAAGGGTGGGAAGGATAAGGGTAGGGTGGGTATCATGCCGAATAGAAGACTATACGTCAGTACAGCAGTGCGCGAAATGCTTTGGATTTGGGCATAGGGCGATAGTCTGTAGAGGTCCGGTCTGTTGTCTAGTCTGTGGTAAGAGTGGTCATTTTTCCAGCACGTGTAANCATCCCCAATAAGATCCTCCAAGGAGCAGACGCCCATCACACAAGCCAGTTTCACAAACGACCGCCGGGACCACCCGAACCTCTTCGGCATCTCTTACGAGACCCTCCAAGGCACGAGCGACCCAACAGCCGCGTATTTGCTACACCCCATCCATCGATTCGTGAGATTTGCAGGTCTCTTTTTGTTCAGCCTCCTAGGAGACCTTAACAGTGGCGCCACTAGAAGGCAAAAGCCTGTGGGGGCGGGATAGGTTATAAGTTGCACGTCACCGCACGACTCCATCCTCCTGTCCAACGCATCACGCGGACGGTGTGGATGACCAAGTAGATAGGGACAGAGGGAATCTCGTTAATCCATTCATGCGCGTCACTAATTAGATGACGAGGCATTTGGCTATCAAAACTATTTATTTAAACTCAGATAGCGTTACAAGTTTTACAATTGTAATTTCATTTTGATACATGATTGAGAATCCCGACATTAGTATAGCACTCATTTAGTCCTTGTGTCGCTTGCTGACTCTTCACGCATAGTAGTCTTCGTGCACCATCTTAGCCGCTACCGTCGTCTTGTTGAAGCGTGTCCAATTCGTGTGGCTTCCCTGTAGCAGCCTGGTGACCAGCTGGGCGAGTGTTGTGTCCGTCAGGCCGAGGCGTCTCAGGAACTCAGCAGACTGTCGGCAGAAGGCTCCCCTCCATGAGATGGTGACTGCGCTGACGTCGACGTCCGTCGTATTCAGCACCGCCGCCGCTTGTCCGATGAGGTCGCTGTTGGTCCCGTATTTCTCTGCCTTCTGCCGCTGCGCCACGCTGAGTGGAGGTCCAGCCACGACGATCTGCACGTCGATGATGTAGCCGAGTCCGTCCCGCGTCGCCAGGAGGTCCGGCTTGAACCTCCCGGTCACCGTTGAGAAGAGGTGTTCAAGGAGAACCGTATACCCCTTCTGCTTCAGCCGTCCGGCGAGTGCAGCTACCACGGCGTCATGTCGAAGTATTCTTCCGCCGTGGGTACTCCAGCAACTCTGGACGACGTGCGCTGGGGTCTCGGTGGCGTCGCAACCAGCTCGGCAACGGAGGTTCCTTCCTTGGCGTTGCTCTCCCCTCGCTGTTCTGGTCCTTGTCGGGAGAGCGTTGATCCACGTCCGGGCGTACTGGATGAAATCCCTGCCCGGGATGCCGCTGCAGCTCCTCCGTATCCACGCTGTGGACTCCTTCTCCTTTCTAGCCTCCCGTAGAGCCGCTCCGTCGTACGACTTGTAGAGCGCTTCTGCCCAGAAGCGCTGCCTCTGCTCCGGAGTCGGGTTGTCTGTCGGGAGGCCCCTCTTCCTCAACTGTTGCCGGGCCCAAGCTACCCGCCTTTGGGTCGCTGTGCTCCCGATCGCTGCTTTGACTGCTTGGCTTCCCTCTTCACGCAGTCGGTCCAATCTCTTGGCAATGCACCCTGGTACGAATGTCTCCATGGCGGGCACCCCTAGCCCTCCATCCCTGATGGAGGCATGGAAGAAAGCCTTCGGGGTGTCCTTAGGGAGACGTAGCCATCCTCTCACCGCTTTCCTTAATTGTTGGTCAATGGCGGTGAGTCGGCCGGCTGTGGTCCTTCCTAATACCAGGGCGTAAAACAGCCTTGGGAGCAAGTGCGACCTCAGTATCTCTAGCCGCTGTTGCGGCTTGAGAGAGGCTCTCTGGACTCTCTCAAGGAGTGTCGCCAGTTCCGCTTCCAGCCTCACTTCCCTTACTCCCGACGTTCAAAGTCGACCCCGAAATATCTCCACGTGTCCAGAACCCCAACTTGCTTCAGGGATTCCTCGGACACGGAGAATCGGGCGGACTCCATTACTTTCATCTTCTTATTCTTTCCGTCGGGTATCAGGGAGAGCACTGTCGACTTCTCCGGGTTCACTTCGAGACCGTACCTGGACGCTGAGGACTCGAAAGCCCCCAGCGCTGTCCGAAGACCAAGCTCTGTCGAAGAGACCAGCACGACGTCGTCCGCCAATGCCAGGGCTCCGACTCTGTTTCCTTCAATGCTATAGCCAATATGGGGCGGGACCGACGACAAAATCTGGGCCATCACCCAGTTAAACAGAGTCGGTGACAATGGGTCACCCTGACGCACTCCACGGTTCGGTACAATCGCACTGGATCTCTGTCCTCTTGACTCCAGGTACGTGCTCCCCTTGAGCGTCTCAGCGAGGTAGCTTCCCAGTTTCTTAGGTACGCCTTTCGCAGCAATAGCCGCCACTAGGCCCTCTCTACTGACGGAATCGAATGCCTTTTTGAGGTCGAGTGTCGCAACGTGCAGGCTGTTGAGCCTCCTTTTCGCATCGCGAATAATGGCGTCGAGCAAAATGATATTTTCAGCCGTCCCGTCAATGCCTTCTCTAAATCCTTTTTGCTCGGGGACGTGCTGGATTGCGCTCGACAGCCTCTTCGCTAGGATTCTATGGTAGTGTCTAATGATCACTGAGACTACCGTGATAGGTCGGTAGTCTAACGGCCCGGGATCCTCCTTCTTGGGAATGAGGACGGTCCGACCCTCGAGCAAGCTCTTGGGTGGCCGCCCCATCTCCTGGAAGAGCCTGTACACCAGCACGCGTAGCTGAACGGGCACCGCCTTCCACAGTCGCTCCGTCACCCCATCAGGTCCGGGACTAGTGCGGATGGGCAGTTTGGCATTCACCGCTTCCTCTGGCGTGATCGGCTGTATCAGACTTTCATTTGTGTCCGTGGACCAGGTGATGGGTCCTGTCCACGGGGCCGATCTCGTTTCGAGTACGGGACGCCACGCGTTCTCAAGCTCTGTCAAACCGTGCTTGGTGCACACTCTCCTTCCTTCGAGGATTTCCTGCGCCGCTCTCGCAGGATCTTTTTTAAACATGGACTGGACCCGGGCGTATTCCCTCCTTCTTAGTTGCTTTTTATTCGGGATACGGTGGTTTCTCCCTGGGTCCAGTGCCGGGGTCGTTCTCTCAGTTATCATCACGGGCGGAAAGACTGTTCGGAACCAAGTTCCTAGGTCCTCCACCCTCGCTACACCATCCAAACAGAATCGGGATGCTATCTTTCTTAACTCTATCGCATTATGCGACTCAATGCCTAGTTTCGATTCCACAGCGGCCTCAATGGCTTCTTTGTTTGCCGCAGAGATACTCGATCCGTTAGGTTCGTTGCTCTGCGGGCTGCAAATGGTCTGAACCCTGTGTTGGGCAAGAATCATCTTATACTTTTCATTCTTGTTCCTCACTCCCTTGAGAGCTTTAAGGGACCTACCAGGAATCATCGGCAACAGCTTCTCGTTCATGAAACGGACTCCTTCTCGTTCGGCCGCTACCTCGGCCGCGGCAAGAATCCTCATCTCCTCTTCCGACCACCTCGGTCTTGATCCTGACTAGACTGCGACACCCGCATTGGCCTCAACAGGGTGGGCTCGTCTTCTGTGTACTGCCCTTGGCTGTTGTGAAGCTCCTGTCGCAGGTAACGCAGACGAACGACGGTGGAACGGCAACGGTTCCGCTGGTGCACGGAACAGGACCTTCATCTGTGGATGAAGGTTTATTATTTTCATTATCTTTTTCGTTTTTCGTGCCTGTTTGATTGTCGGGGAATGGGGCTGGCATCCCCAGACCCCCCTTAAGCCTCTGCCATTGGTTGCCCCCGCACTCCATGATGGGCTGGTCAGTAGGCGCATGGAAGGGCTGCTCCCTTGTGCGGGCCCCCGTTAAGGGGTGCTAGAGATATATGGTCTACGTTGGTGTCCTTCTCTGTCGGGTAGCGACTCCGTCACCATCTCAGAGGGGAACAGCACACCCTGCTCGTCCTGCTAGGACCATAGTTCCTCTAGCCGACATTGCCCCGTTAGTTATACAATCTCACGTAATTCCATTTCCCGGTTGCAATGTATACAATTCGGGAAAATAGAAAACGCGGTGTAAGCCGGCGGTACCACTGGGAGGTGGGGTTGTCTGAATCGAGAGAGGCTAAGTCATCGAAGATGATGTATTCGCATCTCGACCCATCCTTCACTATTGGACTCTCTTACTTCTGACCTCTATAGGACTTCAGACCTCTATGAGAGTCATAGTTACTCCCGCCGTTTACCCGCGCTTTTTTGAATTTCTTCACGTTGACATTCAGAGCACTGGGCAGAAATCACATTGCGTCAACGCCCGTTAGGGCCATCACAATGCTTTGTTTTAATTAGACAGTCGGATTCCCCTGGTCCGTGCCAGTTCTGAGTTGATCGTTGAATGGCGGCCGAAGAGACGATCGGCCCGTTTTCCGCCCCTAAAAGAGACGGGAACTGGACAGCCGATGACTCGCAGAAAGAAAGGTCCGTGGGCGGCCAAGGCACGGGACCGAGCTCGCATCCTGGTGTCACCACCAGTCTCCTCGCCCAGGCCCAAATTGTTTCAGACAGACAATCGTGCTTTCGAGCACAAACGTACAAAAATGCTTTGTTTACAATAGGAATAACATATATTCTCAATATATCTTATTACCCGCAAGCGAATCTAGCCGAGAGATATATATCAGGGATAAATAAGGCAATCAGAGCGTTTCATTCTGAAGATCAAAAGCATTGGAAAAAAAAATTATTTCTGTTTATTATGGCCTTAAATTCGGCACCCAGTGAAACAACTAAAACTTCACCTGCGTTAATATTTTTTGGAAGGGAAATACAACACCCAATAACATTGAAATTTAACATTGAACAAGAAATGAAACAATTAACACCATCTGAACTTGAGTCTTTGTGGAAAACTACATTACAAAATTTAAAAGCTGTATACATAAAAAATATTTCCAAAATGCAACAAATGAAAACATTACCATCTTTACAAATTGGCGATCTAGTTTATTATAAAACATACATACTATCAAACAAGCAAAAAAAAAATTCAAACATCACTTTGTAATCAGTTTTCAGGCCCTTATAAGATAATAAATTTTTTTAATAAAGTGTCATACTTAATTCAATTGATATCTGATCCGAAAATTATAATCCATGCTCA